ATAATATAATATTAACATTAAAATAACGATATATACTAAAACTACACCACTAACAATACAGCCTACTATCACAGATACTAAAACAGAGATATCATTTATAATATAATATTAACATTAAAATAACAATATATACTAAAACTACACTACTAACAATACAGCCTACTATCACAGATACTAAAACAGAGATATCATTTATAATATAATATTAACATTAAAATAACGATATATACTAAAACTACACCACTAACAATACAGCCTACTATCACAGATACTAAAACAGAGATATCATTTATAATATAATATTAACATTAAAATAACAATATATACTAAAACTACACTACTAACAATACAGCCTACTATCACAGATACTAAAACAGAGATATCATTTATAATATAATATTAACATTAAAATAACAATATATACTAAAACTACACTACTAACAATACAGCCTACTATCACAGATACTAAAACAGAGATATCATTTATAATATAATATTAACATTAAAATAACAATATATACTAAAACTACACTACTAACAATACAGCCTACTATCACAGATACTTAAACCGAGATATCATTTATAATATAATATTAACATTAAAATAACAATATATACTAAAACTACACCACCAACAATACAGCCTACTATCACAGGTACTAAAACAGAGATATCATTTATAATATAATATTAACATTAAAATAACAATATATACTAAAACTACACCACTAACAATACAGCCTACTATCACAGGTACTAAAACAGAGATATCATTTATAATATAATATTAACATTAAAATAACAATATATACTAAAACTACACCACCAAAAATACAGCCTACTATCACAGATACTAAAACAGAGATATCATTTATAATATAATATTAACATTAAAATAACTATATATACTAAAACTACACCACCAAAAATACAGCATACTATCACAGGTACTAAAACAGAGATATCATTTATAATATAATATTAACATTAAAATAACAATATATACTAAAACTACACCACCAACAATACAGCCTACTATCACAGGTACTAAAACAGAGATATCATTTATAATATAATATTAACATTAAAATAACAATATATACTAAAACTACACCACCAACAATACAGCCTACTATCACAGATACTAAAACAGAGATATCATTTATAATATAATATTAACATTAAAATAACTATATATACTAAAACTACACCACCAAAAATACAGCCTACTATCACAGATACTAAAACAGAGATATCATTTATAATATAATATTAACATTAAAATAACAATATACACTAAAACTACACCACCAAAAATACAGCATACTATCACAGGTACTAAAACAGAGATATTTAAAAAATCCATATTTGATACTTTTGTTCTTATCGAACATAAAAAATTGTGTTCAAATATTTAGAAATATTTATATAGTACAAATATTACTTACCATCTAAACCTGTTGTACTGTCACTCTGTAAGCTATTACCCCCAACAGTTGTTGTTGTCGGAGATGTTACCAGTGTGGACGTCAAAGACGTACCTGTTGTACTGTCACTCTGTAAGCTATTACCCCCAACAGTTGTTGTTGTCTGAGTTGTTTCAGGTGTGGACGTCAAAGACGTACCTGTTGTACTGTCACTCTGTAAGCTATTACCCCCAACAGTTGTTGTTGTCGGAGATGTTACCAGTGTGGACGTCAAAGACGTACCTGTTGTACTGTCACTCTGTAAGCTATTACCCCCAACAGTTGCTGTTGTCTGAGTTGTTTCAGGTGTGGACGTCAAAGACGTACCTGTTGTACTGTCACTCTGTAAGCTATTACCTCCAACAGTTGTTGTTGTCTGAGTTGTTACCAGTGGCTTCGTCCAAGAACTTCGACAAGTTAAATTAAGTTTTGGACCTGGAAGTTAACACCAAAAATTAAAGTGGCGTTGATATTCAAAAGAACTGTTTGAGGTAAAATACGGCTGGGCGATATACTAGTATCACGATAAATACCGGTATAGGAATAATAGGATAGTAATGCCTGATTAAAAATACCGAAATATCGCCATAACGTGATATAGGTTGATTATCATGATATATTGTAAAAATTTTGTCCAGATAGAATCCTCTAAACAATTTTATCAAGTAACTTAATATTCGAAACAGATGTTTGTTTCTTGATGTTAAAGATTGGGGTGTTTTTATTGATATCTATTGTTTATTATTTCTAGATAAAAAATAACCATCATTTTGTTTAAAAAACCAGTAAAAAACATTATTTAAAAATAAGGTAAGAGTTACCAGCACAGCTTTTTGAAACGAAGACAGTACAATCAAACTTTAAGCATATATATTTATATTATACATATGAACAGAACGTGAACCATTCAGAGTTTCACACTATGCGATCTTCAGACAACTGCCCTATTTTCAGCCTGAATCACTACTGAAATCGGACAAGTAGAACTTTTTCTCATGTCTACAATATGTCTCATGTCTCTATAAAGTTATAAGTATTTGTTTAATAAAACATGATTTTTTTACCATTGGTTTCAGTTTTGATTTCAAAATCGAATTTAAAACCTGACGTGGTGTCCTTGTCCTTCAGCAAATTAATATAAACACGATCTGTTGGTGTCATAGTAAATGAGAAATTATCGATATATCTGGTACAGTTGTGTCCTCTTGTGTCTGTTTTCAAGTTAATCTCCAGTTTGTACTGGCAACCAGCAGGACTCATATTTGTCTTAAAATTTACAGTTGATTTGCCCTCGCCATTAACCAGTTCGACTGAACATCCACAAGATTCAAAACGTTGTATGTCCCCAGTTAGACTAACTAGTTCTCCAATCTGGGTTTCATTAGAACAAATATCAATACTTGATACTGGAATAGAAGGTTGAATTAAATACAAAAGAATATTTCACAAAACGTTTATTTCGTCATTTTCAAACTTCTAAGCTCATTATTAGAGTTTTAGACATGCTTTCATATGGTTCACCAACCTTTTTCTCTTCAATCCGTGTTACTAACCATTTAGACTCTCCGAAATATTTCTTCTGCGTTTTTATTATAAAGAAAGTAAATTTGGTATTCGGAACCGATATAGTGAACACCCATTATATGTCAGGTGATTGTTTTTTTTTATACCGGCCAATCATCATGCATACACATTGTTTTTGGTTTATAAATAGAAACACAAACACACACGAAACTCCTGAATAATCTATATGAATACAGGTAACATATTCTGAAAACCATTTTAGCACTAGGATGTTCTAGGTTCTTATCTTCTAACATTGATTCTAGGATGTCCTAGGTTCTTATCTTCTAACATTGATTCTAGGATATCCTAGGTTCTTATCTTCTAACATTGATTCTAGGATATCCTAGGTTCTTATCTTCTAACATTGATTCTAGGATGTCCTAGGTTCTTATCTTCTAACATTGATTCTAGGATATCCTAGGTTCTTATCTTCTAACATTGATTCTAGGACGTCCTAGTGCTAAGATCGTTTCTAGAATACGTGTCCAGGAGAATGAGAAGGGTAGTTTTAATTTGTTAATATTCTACAATAATCCAGCATACACAGCCCCCAAACATCACGTTATACATTAGTCTATGTTATTTTAGCTTTTAATACACTTACCTACAGAAATCGTATAGAATAAATCAATGATGATATTCACTATTAAGAAAATTAGGAATCCCATAATTAAATCTGTTAGATTTCGTCAACAATCTGGTCTGGACATTGAACAGTTATGATTCAAACTGTCGTTTTACCAAAAGTATTTTACTAAGTGTTCCTTACATGGTAGGGTCAACTTCAGTAGTATCATAGGTAATGAACTACACACTTTACGGATGATATACTTCTAACTTCCTTGTCAAAAACCATTGATGCATAATTTCTTACCTTTAGTCGTGTTATCACCTCATCCTAACCACCTACTGCTTTTCAAATTCAGTTCGTTGTCAACTTTCAGTCCAACTTTGTCGACCTAAACTTGATATGAAACCAAACCAAAAATGAAAATAAACATATAGTGACGTTTTTACTGGTGGACAATAAGGCTCCCTTTCCTATTTTCTATAGTGCCTATACTGTGAGCCTCGCTTGGCCACTTCTCGGCCCCCCAAACTAATGATGTCTAGAAACCACACTGTAAACATAATAAAGACTATAAATACAACATTTTGAAGTCTCTGATAAAAATGAAAAAGGAAAACAAAGTTCGTGGGATAAATCGATATAAATCGCAATATTTAGGATTCTTACCAAAATATGGTTGTTATCACAATAGGGGTTGTTACCACAATAGAGGTTGTAACTACAATAGGGGTTGTTACCACAATAGAGGTTGTTACCACAATAGAGGTTGTTACCACAATAGGGGTTGTTACTACAATATAGGTTGTTATTACAATAGAGGTTGTTACTACAATAGAGGTTGTTACCACAATAGAGGTTGTTATTACAATAGAGGTTGTTACCACAATAGGGATTGTTACTACAATAGAGGTTGTTACCACAATAGAGGTTGTTACCAAAATAGGGTTTGTTACTACAATAGAGGTTGTTACTACAATAGAGGCTGTTACCACAATAGAGGTTGTTATTACAATAGAGGTTGTTACTACAATAGAGGTTGTTACTAAAATAAAGGTTGTTACCACAATAGGGGTTGTTACTACAATAGAGGTTGTTATTACAATAGAGGTTGTTATTACAATAGAGGTTGTTATTACAATAGAGGTTGTTACCACAATAGAGGTTGTTATTACAATAGAGGTTGTTATTACAATAGAGGTTGTTACTACAATAGAGGTTGTTACTACAATAGAGGTTGTTACTACAATAAAGGTTGTTATTAGAATAGGGGTTGTTACTACAATAGAGGTTGTTACTACAATAAAGGTTGTTACCACAATAGGGGTTGTTACTACAATAGAGGTTGTTACCACAATAGAGGTTGTTATTACAATAGAGGTTGTTACCACAATAGGGTTTGTTATTACAATAGAGGTTGTTACCACAATAGGGTTTGTTACCACAATAGAGGTTGTTACTACAATATAGTTTGTTACCACAATAGAGGTTGTTACTACAATATAGGTTGTTACTACAATAGAGGTTGTTATTACAATAGAGGTTGTTACTACAATAGAGGTTGTTACTACAATAGAGTTTGTTACCACTATAGAGGTTGTTACCACAATAGAGGTTGTTACCACAATAGGGGTTGTTATTACAATAGGGGTTGTTATTACAATAGGGATTGTTACTACAATAGAGGTTGTTACCACAATAGAGGTTGTTATTACAATAGAGGTTGTTACCACAATAGAGGTTGTTACCACTATAGAAGTTGTTACTACA